TACCAATTGTCACCGACACTTCTAAAAAAAGCAATTGTCTTTTTTTTGTTTGGGAGGGGGGTGCGGGGGAAAAGCAATTGTCACCGGCGGATGGGAGCTCCTGCAAATCCTAATATTACTTTGCACAGTTGGACGCACACCCCTCCACACGATGGGCCAGCCCATTTGTATTTTTCTCTTTTTCTAAAAGACGCAAAAGATGCGCACTGAGGTGGATTCGAACACAAAACGTGGAGAATTAGTGCAATATACGGGATAACTACCCAACCAACTTCACATTCTATGCCCCTCAAACAAAAACTTCACGTTCTATGCTCACATAGATATTCTTTCCCTATTGTTCTCTCTTTTCCTTTTCTTCCTTCTTTCCCCTTCGTAGTCGTGGTTTCGCAGAGGAGGCGGCCCATTGTTGTCCTCTGCGGGATGAAATATCACGAAAAATGCGCTAGCACATTGAACCCGCGACCTGGTACAGAGGCTCGACATGCCTTAACCACTGTGACACGCGACCTATTGTGAAAAAACTGCAGCATGAATTTAGAAGAAACTACTGGCAGTAGCAAAAAATAAAATCAATTCGCAAAATTTCATAAAACATGTTGACGCAATAAACAGTGCGGCTACCTTATTGTTAAATATTTCGCGCAAGAATCTGTCACTAGAGCCTACTTGCTCTAGTGGTTCAGGCAACCTGCCCCGTAGGTAAAAGGGGGCGAGTTAGAATCCTAGCTGGAGCAACATTTAGGAGGTTTTTTTTTCTGCCATATACACATTTTTTTCATGTGCTGCATCGTGGGCCGGCCCACCAGGTGCGGCTAGTCAGCGCCAGTTCCTAAATGGGCGCATAAAGCGCCGTATAGGAGCTCCCGGGATCTCCTGTGTGAAAGGACCTCCTATATGCCGCTTTCTGCGACAAGTAGTCGTGGTTTTACACAGGAGGCGCCTCACTTGGGCCGGCCCATTCGTTGTCCTTCGCGGGATGAAATATCGCAAGAGAGAAAAAAGAACTCACCGCGAACTGGTACAAAGGCTCGTGATGCGCTAACCACTCCGACACGTGACCTATTGCAAAACAATTGCAACACGAACTTAGAAGAAACTACCCACAGTACAAAAAATAAAATCAGTTCACGAAATTCCATAAAACATGTTGGCGAAGAATCGAACACAAGACCTCCCACCTAGGAACTGCGCCCATAACCACTATACTAAGCGGTAGATTAAAACATTTTAAAAATCAAACGAGATTTTTAAAAGGAAATCTTTTTTAAACGCAAAGATTATTTGGGAAAATAATATAAAGAACAAATAGGAACAAAAAATGAATACGAGAACATTCTTCAAAATTATGAAATACTTGTAAACGCAAGGCATTTTTTGAAAAACAATAACAAAATTGAAAAAGTGAATATTTTCCAAAATTACAAACTATTTTTTACAAAACTTGAGCATGTTTTTAATTTGCCAACTAATTTTGAAAACATGAACAATTTTCGTATTTGTGAACAAAATTTGATAACTGTAGTATTTTTGGAATATGTGAACAAATTTGGAAAACAATTTTTTTGAACTCCTCAGACATTTTTGTGTTTTTGAACAAAAACTAAACATCTGAAGATTTTTTGAATTTGTAAGCAAATTTGGAAACATGAATATTTTTTGATATGTGAACAAATTTTGAAAAGGAAAATATTTTTTTGAATTTATGAACAAAAATTTGTAAACAAGAATCCTCTTTCAAATTCCCAAACATTTTCCAATGTGTGAACAAAATTTAATCATGTGAACATTTTATGAATTTGTGAAGAAATTTTGGAAATGGGATTTTTTGAAATAAAATATTTTTAGTTTTCTGAACAATATGTAAAAATGTGAATTTCTGAACTTTTTTGTAAACATAATTTTTTCGAATTTGTGAACAAAATTTAAAACCACGAACATTTTTTGAATTTTTAGAACAAATTCCGAAATGAAGAACAATTCTGAAAATCACAAACAAATTTCAGAAGTGAACAATTTCTGAATACGTGAATGGGAATGTGAAAACAAGAACATTTTTGGAATTTGTGAACAAGTTTTCAAAACAGGAACATTTTTTGAAATCCATGTCATCATTTGAAAGTTCTGATGAAATTAAACAAAAACATTCCAAACAATTTTTGAAAAACATACCTAACAAGTTTTGAAAAGACAAATATTTTTTGAACTTCCTGTTTTTAAGAAAATGCAAACATTTTTTGAATTTATGATCAACTTTGGAGAACATGACCACTTTTAAAAATATTGAACGTTTTTTAAAAGCACGAACATTTTGTTAAAGTTTCTGAACGATTTTCAAAACAGGAACTCTTAAAAAGAAGAAAAATAGACTTGAAAATAAAAAAGATAAGAAAAAATAGCATAAGGAAAAGAAAAGAAAAATAAACAGAAAAATTAAAAAAAAGAAACAGGAAAACCAGTTCAAGGAACCTTCTAGAAGATTCCCAAAACCAGAAAAACCGGCTACGATACTCTAGAAGATTCCCAAAACCGAAAATTGTTGTCATACGTTAATGGGCCCGGCCCAGGTGATCGCTCGAGCGCCAGGTCTCTGTGCGAAAGGTCGACACCTTGACGCCACGTGCGTCCAATAGGAATTTCCCTGTGTTAAGCTCTTTGCGTCAAAAATTC